CCAGCTGAGCCAGAGCCGGGGGCTGGCGGGGCTGGGGGGCAAGCGGGGCTACGAGGCGGGGGGAGATGGCCACCGGCCCCCCCGCATGAGGGTACAGGGCAGGGGGGATTGACAGGGGAGTGGGGTGATTGACAGGGGAGTGGGGTGATTGACAGGGGAGTGGGGTGATTGACAGGGGAAAGGGGTGATTGACAGGGGAATGGGGTGATTGACAGGGGAGTGGGGTGATTGACAGGGAGCATTGGGGTGATTGATGGGGAATGGGGTGATTGACAGGGGAGTGGGGTGATTGACAGGGGAGTGGGGTGATTGACAGGGGCATGGGGTGATTGACGGGGGAATGGGGTGATTGACGGGGGAATGGGGTGATTGACAGGGGAATGGGGTGATTGACAGGGAGCATTGGGGTGATTGACAGGGGAGTGGGGTGATTGACAGGGGAATGGGGTGATTGACAGGGGAATGGGGTGATTGATGGGGAAATTGGGGGTGATTGATATGGGTGGGGGTGATTGACAGGGGAATTGGGGGTGATTGACAGGGGAAAGGGGTGATTGACAGGGAGCATTGGAGTGATTGACAGGGGAAAGGGGTGATTGACATGGGTGGCAGTGATTGACAGGGGAATGGGGTGATTGACAGGGAGCATTGGGGTGATTGATATGGGTGGGGGTGATTGATGGGGAAATTGGGGGTGATTGACAGGGGAAAGTGGTGATTGACAGGGAGCATTGGAGTGATTGACAGGGGAATGGGGTGATTGACATGGGGTGGAGTTTGGGAGGTGATTGACGGGTGAAACATGCGGGGGTGGGGCTTGGAGTGATTGACAGTGGGCGGGGCCGTTGGAACTGGGAGCTGATTGGAGCAATGAGGGTTTGTGGGCGGGGAGTTGGGTTGATTGACATGCACGTTGAGGGGATTGGGGCGTGGTTAGGGGGTGACCGACGGCCTCACGGCGCGCCGTGATTGGCCGGGTAAAACGCGCGCCCTGGCGGGGGCGGGCTGTGATTGGGCGGCGGGCTGGCGCGGCGCGCTGTGATTGGGCGGCGGGCGGGGCTGACGCTGCCGCGCAGGTCGGAACGGCGGCGCTGCCGTTCTCGGCCAACGGGCGCCCCCTGGCGGCCGCGCTGCGCCCCGCGCCCCCCCCCGGCACCAAACGGCAGAAACTGAACCCGGCGGACGCCCCAAACCCCGTGGTGTTCGTGGCCACCAAGGACACCCGGTACGGGGCCTGAGCGGTGGGGGGGAGGGGTCCTCAGGGGCGTTGGGGGGTTCTGAGGAGATTTAAGGGGATCCTGAGGGGGTTTGGAGAGCCCTGAAAAGATCTCGGGCGTCCCAAGGGGTTTGGGGGGGTCCTGAGGGTATCCTGAGGGGGTTTGGGGGGTTCTGAAAGGATGTGAGAGGGTCCTGAGGGGACTTCAGGGGATCCTCAAGGGATTTGGAGGGGTTCCTGAGAGGGTCTGGGGAGTCTTGAGGGGATCTGGGGTGTATTGAGCAGGTTTGGGAGGGGTTCCTGAGGGGATTTGTGGGGGTCCTGAGGGGATTTGGGGGTTTCTGAAGGGGTTTTGGAAGTCCTCAGGGACTTTTGGGAGGGTTGTAAGAGGGTTTGACAGATCCTGAGGGGTTCTGGGAGGGTCCTGAGGGGCTTTGGGACGTCCTGGGGGGGTTTAGCAGGATCTTAACGGGGTTT